CTGCTCGTCTGGCATTTCGGAACATCCGTGGGCCAGGGGGAGTGTAGCCAGCCTAGGGTGTTGGGGTGGGGCAGTCCACTTGACATGCGTGAAAAGCCGGAATGTTCGAGTTTACACTGTCTCGCTCGAGAGGGCCCAGGTGAGCAGACTGCCGCGCCGCCGCGTGGTCCCCCCCAACTAAGTTAGCACCTTCATTGTGTCTTTTTTATTCGCCCATATATACTCGATATCTCGAAGTCAGATTAGGCGTGTCTATGAGTTTGACGTGGCGGCCTTCGCGTTTGATGAAAGTGGTGCTGATGAGCATGCTCTGTTGATATCTAATGGAGTACGTTAGAAACAGCCTATCCTCACGGCTTTTATCAAGTGCCGCAAAGGCCACGTCAAAACCATAGCCACGCCTAATCTGACTTCAAGATTTCGACTGTACAACCGTCTGTCGCTATACCACTTTATTTGTTTAGATTTCTGGAATGATTGGCGTTCGACATCCCGAGACAGCACAACGAGAGCTCCGCTACGATGAAATGCTCGAGGAGCTAGTTCTTTTCGCCCGTACCGCCATGGGAAATTTTTATTTTTTGGATCACTGTGAAGAGCCTGGTAATTTAAAGACAAAAGTTGGGCTCAATAAGGGGGCATTATGGCGATTGAAACTGAGTATAGAGATGTGGAGTAACCATTGGAGAAAAAACTGAGAGAAACCGTCGACAAGGTCGTTAACAAAACCCTCTTTCCCACTAGCAGTGAAGGAGGCTGGCTTGGGAAAGAGGCACGTACATACAAGTTTTCTGAAGATATCAGTCGTTCTATCGGTTGATATTGCAATCAATCTAGCTGATTCACACGTTATACCAGCCACGCACCACTTCCGGAGGTGGGCGGTCCCGGCTTGACGAGGCGGTCCCGGATTGAAACCGACGGCCCCGGGGGCCTAACGACGTTTTTCAAGGTGGGACCTTGCTGCAATGTGAGCAGCTACTCACGTACAACCTCCGGGCACAGGAATTACTCCTCTAGCGTGGCTGAGCCCGTCCTTTGCCTTTAACACAAATTGACTCATGGAACTCAAACATCTCACCTTAACTACTATCATGTTTAGGCTAAATGTTGATCGCTCATCAAGCGATGCAGACGAGAAGGACCGGCCGCGGACGAGGTCCATGTGAGCGGTGGAGTGTAACGAGACCATTCTCGGAGATCAGGACGATATTTCTACACTGCACTACAATATTTTACAATGTGTTTTTCATTCTTCTTTGAATGTTTTAAATTTGAATCTGAAATGAATGGAATTTCTGCATGTGACACTATGTTCGACATGTTTTCAACGCAAACACTTCTCTTCCTTCTTGTATAGGAGTGTGACCCTAAAGAGGACCATTCCGTTGGATGAGCGGCTTTAGGCCAAACAGAAGCAGAATGTAGCTAAATTTCAAAACGCAAACGAAATTAAACAGATAGGAGACAAGAGAACACAGAAACACAAATTTTGTCGGAACTTATTTCTGTGGAGATGCACCAGCCACATTGTAACTTCCTTCCATCGCCTTGGAACAGTAAAACGTTCAAGTTATGGTTTCATTTTACAAGTCAGGGTGGCCCAAAACGACCAGGTACCGCAGGTCCTCACTCTGACAACGAAAGCTTCTATTGTGAGTTGTTGGTCGCTCATCAGAAAAGGAAGGGGTTCGGTCTGTGGCTTTAATGTTTAAACGTTCGTGCTGCCGCAATAGTTGGATACTTTGTCGACTATCGCTTTCTTTAGAGCACCGAAGCGCTCACACTGAAGAAAGCTGTGAGAACTGTCTATGGGCTGAGGTCACCACATACGCAAACATCTCACTATCAATGTCGTCCGCCGCTTAACGTCCGTGATGAGTCTTTTTGGTGTTACTTTTTCTTCAATTTGAGCTGTTTGTGATCAAGATTATCAGACTACATGTCCAAATCCTTCCTTCATTAATCGACACATATCACTGGTTACTGCCAGCTATGACAAGTACAGTACTCAGTTCTCAATCGTTCTGCATGATGTTCCTCCATCTCCGCAACTAAATTCTCATCATCACATCCTCATCCAGGGGAGATACGTTAAATCTGCCCTCTATTTGGCAACGCGTTTCCATTCAATGGGAACTCCTGAGTGTTCCTTTTTTAACTGAACGTTAACAAAATTTTTCGTAATTAGCCGACACTTATTACTGGTTATGGCCAGCTATAGTGGCTACAGTAATCTCAGTTCTTATTCGTTCGCCATCCCATAATATCTCATCTTCACAAGGTCATGCACAAGTCGACCGACGAATTGGTACGGTACTCGCCGTAAAAACTGCAAAAATCACGCGAAGAACGCGATTTCGCGTTTTTTTTTTCGTTTTTTCGTTATAACTCAGTTTAAAATTGGGATTTTCAAAATCAGATAACAGCGTTGAACTCAGCTCGTCGAGATCTTTTAGAAGCCTTCCTAAAGTTTTCTAGAGGTACTACAATGGATTGCGCCATGCACTCGATTTTCATCTCAAAAAGTAGTTTCTCGCATGTGATGTGTGTATATAATCCCGCTTATGCGAGCTGACCGCTACACAGAAAAAAGGATCTCAAAACTTACCCCAGAATGCGCCACATACTCAATCTAATCCACTACATTGTGAGATAAGACGAATGTTATTTTCCGAATTCTTAGATCTCCATTTCGTTTTCAAGCGCTAACTGGCTTTACGTGTTCACTCTGCTCTCAATATCCCATACTCTCTATTTTGAATGAAATCTTTGAACAGTTCTCAGCAGGTGTAGTGGGCCTATTATGTGACATTTTCGATTTTCAGAGGAGATGTTTTGCAAAAAGCTGTTAAGATAGCGAACAATTTCCTTTACTGTCGTAGAATACGGTAGGTTTTCTGTAGGAATTATGTGAAAAATTCGGTCGCAAGTAGGCGATTCTTCCATGGTGTGGTCGTGAACTCTTCGTCATGCCCTTGGGATGAGATCAGATTTTTTGCACTTCTATCCGAACTCGCAAACTTGAAATGTGCCCCGTTAGATTCCCCGTGATAAATGCTATCGAATGATATGCATTACTCCTCCCAGTTGAAACTTTGGTTTCTCACTGTTTTCAGCATTGCCGAGCGCCTTCCCCAGCCCTAGGCGGCCACGTGCGATTCACGTGAGAGGTGCGTGAAGCCGTTTCCACGCTCGTGCAGCAGCCATAGCAACGCATCGATCGAGCCCAACTACGGCCGGTGGGCGGTCATCACGTGACTTCTCACGAACTGCGCACGTGAATCGCACGTGGTCACCTAGGGCTGGGGAAGGCGCTGGGCAATAGAGAGAAGGACGGAACGCTGGAAAATCAAAATTTCAACTGAAGAGTAATGCATATCATTCGATAGCATTTTTCGCGGGAGTCTAACGGGCACATTTTAGGTCTGCGAGTTCGGATAGAAATGCAAAAAAAAATCTGATCTATTCTCAAGAGCATGACGAAGAGGCATGTTTGGGGCCACACCACGAAGAAACGCCGTGAATCGTACGGGAGTGTTTTATTGATGCGGCGTTTGCGCTTAGCATTCTACTAATCTATTACAATTACAGTTCACATTGGTGAGCCCCATTAACACGTTCCGTGATAATAGCAACTAGGATCACGCGAATGTACGAGATGCTTCAGAAGCTCGGCACCACGGCCAGCGAAAATTGTCACGAAGCCTGTTTTGCTGTCGAGGTGCCGAGAGGGAAATGCTTATGGTCGGAGACGAAATCATTCATTCGCGCGTAGTTCAAGGCGTGGGTGCAGATTTCATAGTGATAGCGCTGGTATGTGAAGTTGCTCGTTCCATTATCATGATGGAAGGTAAGTAAAATGATACAATACATAGCATTTTAATCAGGATACTACCCCGGACCACTCACCCAACGCCATTCCAAATGTGGGTCCGAGCTTCTGAACTGGCCCAACTGTGACGCATCAGCGCTGCTCCACTATTAATCTCGTTGTTGTCCGTCGTCTTTGCGCAGCAATGTATTGCAAGCAAAGTGCTCGTATGAAGGCCCAAGAAAAAATACAAAGAGATGGAGCAATGAAAGTTTATACTAAAGCAAATCATATGCCAAAATATCCTACTGTTCCCAATACATATGATTAATGAAGCTTCTTTTCAAGTGCAGTGTTGTTGATGAGGAGGAGTACGAATTTCCCAGACTTGTACCTATTCGTTCAATGTGTGCTCAAAAAACTTTACCAAGCCCTGCGCTAGAATTTGGAGCCACTTTGGATTTAGACTAAGAAAATGGAGATGGAGCGATCAAGCTCAGCAGAGAGTTCGCCTGATGCTCAAGGTGACGAGCATTCAGGCTCTAGGGCGAGTGGCCGGAAAGCAGTTATCAGAAGAATCGGTACCTACGCAAAGACGGTATTGTCACGACAGGAGTGCAAACTACCCGTGCAGTTGAACGACGGTGAGCGATAGTGTTAATGATTAATGAATGAATATTTAAAAACAACATATGCCAACTTCAGATGTATACTACCTCAAAAAGGTCGGAAATCAGTTCTGTGTGCGATGCGGATTGCATGGCATATTTCGACTAGACAAGCATCTAAAGGAAAAACATGGTATTACGAAGGATACAGATGATGAAGAAAAAGCCCAGCTTTATGAAGTAAACGAGTGCTGTGCGTTTCACATGTATGCTTTTTGACAAATGTACAAACTTCAGGCATATCAACAAGCTGGTAAAGGTGTACTAGAACGATTGAAGGGTGCCTACGTGGATCTAAACGACATTCCAGCGCCACAAAAGCCGAGAGAATGGGAAATCTATATGGGGTTTGTGCGACAGCTACGTAGTCACGGTATCCCGATTCGCAATGATGTCAGCCTTAGACACAATTTGATAGGCGTTTCTGTTTTAGTTGTGTAGTTTGCACATATCACATGTCTGCGTTACAGTTTGAACACTCCTCTGGAGAGAGACGTGATAGTGATGCCCAGCAAGCGATGATTTTGCCTCAACAGCAAGTGGTAGCTGCCCAAGCGCACGATGTAGTCGAAAGACGCAGAAAGCTAGGCATAGCGGCTGCAGATGGTGCGCGTGGTGAAGATGAAGGACAAGGATCGTCAGGCATAGCGGCTGCAGATGTACAAGCGCGTGATGAAGAGGAAAGGCGAGGATCGCCCGGCATAGAGGCTGTAGATGTAGAAATACATGGTGAAGAGGAAAGACGTGGATCGCCCGGCTCAGCGGCTGTAGATGCACAAGCGCATGATGAAGGGGGAAGACCAGCAGATCAACAGGTGGGCGCTGCAAAGGTATATCTCATGAAAGAGTATCAGCGGGAATGAATAACCAATGGAGTTATGGTGAGATGTTGTAGGATGTGCGTCATCGACCACCTACATTTGAAGCACCAATTATATCAAGGGACCAGGTCTGCTATACAACGAACATTAATGATGATCCAAATTATAGAGGTAATAGTGTAGAATAAATGAGGAGTTGTAAAGTAAGTAACGTCCAAAACATGCAGGTGGTGCTAATGTACACAGCTGGTTCCGGACGAAACCTTTCAAGCCGTTAATGTTCGCCCATCAATACGACGATTGGAATGATGGTGAGGTAGAAGCAAAGCAGTCGTACTACATGCAAGCATTTTTAATTCCGACAAGCAGCAGTCGTGGTGAAAGTGAGTAGTGTTTAATTGGTGTTAAGCATTAATGTGCTTGGATATACACTACGATACTGGAAATGATATAATAATTCTTAAGGATGGATGAGCGCCGTAGACGAACAACTGAAATTGTGGAGGAAATTGATTAGACAACAGCATCCTATATTGCAAAGTTATTCGGCATATCTAGAAACGAGAACGGTAAGCCAGGTATTATGGCGTGACAAAGCAGACTCACGTAAAATTTAGTGCAACCAGGTGGTCCCCTGTCAACTGCTGAGACATATCGTCCTTGCGTAAGCTTAACTTCTTCCGCTGTGGACAAGTCATTGACGCAAACACCTCATTGGAGGAGGCACCATTTAGACTGAGACCGACTGGCGAAGGAAAGATGCAAAAAAGTCTTCCCCTCCCCCCTTTATCCTTTCTTGCCCTTCCCCTTGCCTGCGTCCTTTCTTGTACCTCCTCCAGCTCCTACTGCAGCACCACGTATAATGAGACTGAGTGTGTTCGATCGGTGTTTATATAGCCGCTGTGGGTGTTATCATGATCGTGAAATCAACATCACGAAGTGTAGCCCCTCGAACTCACCGGTTTTGTTAGCGGTCGGTCAGGACTGACAAACGACACACTCATACACATACACACACATCGGCAAACCGACACACCAAAGTTGTGGTTTATAAATGAAGTGAGGCTTAAGGTTTGTAATTTTCGTCGCCTCTAATACCCTCCCATATCACCTTTGTTCAAAAAACAAATCTCATCTAAAGCCACTTCTGAGTTACAGTTAGTTCGTGTACGTGATGAGAGCGGTGAACGAGAACTTCATCAGGAATTGCGCCAATCACAAAAAGCCTATGCAAGTAATATTGAACGATTCATGCTTGTCGCAATGCGTTCAAGAAAAAGGTAACTAAACGACAACCGAGGCGACCAGGCGAACATAGTTTCAAATCTATTGTTCAGATTAGGCCAAACGGTATCCATCGACGATGCCATCTATTCATGTGAAATCATTACGGATTTCTTCCGCAAACTACAAGATGCAGGCGTTGTGGTCAGTGTGAGGTCACTGTTCGCGCATTCATTGCTTTCATTCTACAAGTACTTGAATCTAAATATCGGCACAGGTTCGTGACAGATATATAATTGCAGTTCTCTAAAAGAACTATTTGCGACTATTAAGTGGCCGGAAACCTTCGATTTGCCGCGATTGCTTATGGTATACGAATTACCGAGAACGAAGTTGAAAAATCAAGGAATGAGAACAGATCACTCAAGACATATGACGATCTCAGTGAAACGGAAAGACAGCAGGTCGTGGCACCTATACATATTAACACACTAAAATCTGACACATTTCAAAATCGCTCTCATTTTCAGGCATGGGAGGCTTACTGTGTGGTGAGAAAAATAGTGAACTGTGTACAGATTGAAGAACGTATAGAAGACATTATGGAGAGGTTTGATGAAGATAGCAATTCATTACGATGTTCAGGCTACAACTACGTGATGAGGTAAGGCGTTAGAGCAATCCGTTTAATCACGTGAAAACGGGAAACGTAAAGAAATGATATTCAGTGCCCTAATGGTATATTTGGTGCACTGTAATGGCGCACGAAACGAGGTCACCTACAAAACACGTCATGGAAACATAAGCAATCTTAAAATGGTTGGTCCAAACCCTGATGTTCTGAATACTTCGGAAACATTCTGGGTGAGTGACAAGGAAATATGCTTCAAGAGCGAATGTATAGTTTGGCTAAAGTTATGTCATGCCACAATCTGTTTAGGTTGGAAGGCACCCACGCTCCAAACACTCCAATGTAGTTCGTGAGCCAATGGGCAGAGCGGGTGGCTATTTTGTTGTCGATCAAAAGTCCATGAAGTGGATTGGACACTACAAAAAGCTACGCGAACAGTATGTACCATGTGATGTGTGACCGCATTTGTTACTGCTGTTTGTTCTGCAAAATTTGGTATTAAGTGTTTGCCGTGAACGCAACGTCACTGACGCCAACACAAAGTTAAAAGCCTTCTTCATACAGTGGAATGGGAGAGATATGACAGAACAGAACTCACGCCGTCTCATGAAGCTGTTTTTCACCCAGCTGAGATGCGGTGCAGCGGAAATAAGCTGTAGCACGGTGGGTGCCCAGGAAAAAGTATATGTCGTCAATGTTATAGTGATTATTCGGTTTGTTCAGACCAGACGCAATGTAGCGCATATAGAGGATCAAAAAAGTATCGCTATAAGAGATCGAATGCGAATGCTGATGAACGAAGCTATTGATCCCGACGTAGCTTTCCTACAATGTGAGTAATGTCTGAAGTGTGCTGTGATGTATGACACAATTGATTCGAATTATCATCCCTTTTCACAGCACACCATACACGGTCTCAAAGAGAATTGTATGTGGAGAAATACCAGCAGTGCTGTGTATTTGGCTACTTGACTCTGAGAACCTACGCAAATGAGCAGGCGACAAGAGAGGAAATGATTGAACGGCTGGCTGAAGTGGACAGAATGTTGATGAGGTTGAGAATGTCAGTATTCTGCTTATGTCCATCCGATATTCAAATCTAATCTATACATTAAAATTTTTTTAGGGTATCTGAGCGAGAAGCTGTTGCTCATGAAGCTGGACCTTCAGCACCGCAACCACAGCCACAGGATATTGCTGAAGGCGATGATATGGACCTACAAGAAGAGGAGGACAGGAATTGGGAGGAATTCAATGCTAGTGATGAAATAGACGACGGCGAACACGACACACAAGACTATGAGCCAGTTCAATCCGCAGGTATACGAAGCGCTTCTTATTGGTTGTAGTCGTATTGCTGCACTGAATGTTCAGAGGAGAAATTTAGATGCTGGAGTTCGCTTGCCATCAGGGACAAGGCGAAAGCGTGATAGCGAACAAGCAATGTTGAGCGAAGACGACGAGTCCACGGAAGTCATCAGAGGGCAAAGCGGCGAAGGTCGCAGTGCTGAAGTCCCACCACCCGAAAACAGAACCGGAGGAGAACACGTTGCACCTGCTGAATCTCCAACCTCCTCTGGACTACCGACACAACGCGAAGGAGTGGCACAGATTAGCACTGAAACTGCTGAAGCTGAATCAGGAGGTAGGCTTATGGAATCTAGTAACGATTAAATTTCTTTGAAGACAAGTATTTGTTCCATTTAGCACCACCTCTAGAGCAGTATTCCATCATCAGACCAAAAAGAAAGCGTGGTGAACCATCGAGTGGGCAAGTACAGAAGGTTGTTGTACCCATTCCAACAACCCCAGCAACAAGTCAACAATATGATGAAGAGCAGCAAGCTGTGCTAGCTCGTGGAGCGGCTGCTGCAGAGCGTTTTCAACGGGAAATAGAGCAGCAACTGCCCCTGGAGCAGCTACAAATCCGTGACCGCTATGCCACACCGTTGCCGGAGATTGCTGTTCCCGAAAATGTGCTCGATTATATGCGAGCTCTTAACAACAGGCATTACGACAAGGGAATGTTGGAATATTATAAGACGGAACTCCAGCGACAGCGATTCAATCTCCGACGTCTGAATCAACCATATCAGGTCAGAGATCATATGATGAGCTCCCTTGTGTGTGCACGCTTAAATCCTTAACTATCGACCAAATTAAGGACTTCCCGTGGCTCGAAGTGCGTGACATACACAGCATTGGTGGCAAAGGAGTCTTCGCCAAAACTGAAATATCGAAGAATCAAATCGTCTGCGACTATAGGTAACATTCAAACATGTTTTTGACCTTAATTACCATAACGTCCGCGAATCGTTCCCATACAAGCATGTTTCAGAGGTAAATATATACGTAAAGACGATATTGTAAAATTAAAGGAAGGCCTAGGTGAGGAAGATGCCTATGCAATAGGTGATTATGAAGTCGAATATAATGGTGAGTATCGTCTGTATGGCGAAACTAAACGCTGATTTGTGAGTGAATCAGGAAAATTATAAAATTTTTCAGCTCGACTTAGGAATGAACAGGGCATCGACAAGACACAGAATTATTCCATTCTTGCACACCACCCCATATATAAAGGAGCAGTCACAATTGGTCGTCTTTTCAATCATAGCAGAACGCATGCCAATCTTGTTACCAAGTGCATAGACCTCACCTACTCCACGGATCTAGGACCACAAAAGCAGCTGCTATTACTATTTAAAGCCAAGTGCAACATAAAGGTAAATTCACAACACGTAATTTTTACTCTGTTACTGTTACTGTTATTTTTACTCAAGGTTGCAGTCAGAAGCTGACGAAGATCGTCTTCCAATAATCCGAAAGTGTGGACTTCTGGATGTTGGCGAAGAAGCTCCATTACAGACTGTACGGCGTCATTGTTGTTACCGTTTGTGTATAAAGAAACTACGTCAAAGCTCGCGTAGCATGCGTCATCCGGTACCACGCAACGATTCAGGGCTGATATGGAGTCTCCTACGTTGACGAGATGAGCAGCTACGTGATGGAGTAGCGGCGACAGGAGCTTTACCAGGAACCAGCTCATTCTATCTGACGGAACTCCGCACGAAGATATCGAGGAATTTTTGTATGAAATACATACATACATAACATACATACATACATACATACTACAAAACATACATGACATACAACATACATACATACTTACATACATACATAGCATACCATACATACATACCATATACATACATACATACATACATACATACATACATACATACATACATACCTACATACATACATACATACATCATCATACATACATAACATACATCGACATTACATACCACATACATAATACATACATACATACATAACATACATACATACATAACATACATACAGACATACAGACATACAAACCGACACTCAAAGTTAAGGCTTTATAAAATAGAAGGATAAAGGTGTAGCGGGACCAATTTCACCTCAATTCCTTCTCCTGGAGTAGAGAGGAGGACGTCCCGCAATAGGGCCTGGGTCAGGTGAGATATCGAGGAAAATTTTGAAATACGGCCCTCTCCCTCCTCTCCAGCGACAAACATCCATGATACGTCTCTCTGTACAAGAGGAACTGTGAAAAAGTTGTTTATCCCTCCGCGAAAACTGTTCTTTGGAAAAAACACCCTCACGCCTCGTGAGCCCACCCCTGCTATAAACGTCCTTCAACAATTAGAAAAGTCGGAGAAAGATCAGCAATAATGAGCCGTACGGAGAAAGGATATAAAACGATGAACCAGCCATGAAAATACTAGCCAGTTGTGTATTTGTTGACCTACATTTGTTGACCTGTTTATATCGGCATTATGCTGATTCAATTACCCCGCTGGAAGGGAGGGGTCGGGTTCTGAGGTAAACGCTGAGCAAAGGTGCAGTGACCTGTTTGAGAATGGTTGGAGGCTCTTTAGGTGGGCAAGCCAGATCAATGAAGTGGGGTCAGAAGTCGGTGAGACTCTGCGATTGCATCGCGCGATGCAATCGCAGAGTCTGACCGTCATCTCATCGCTGTCAGAGTACTCCAAAAGGGCAAACATGAGGGAGCGTATAACGCAAGCTCCGAAGACTTGTTGATCGTTTCAGCTTTTCACTGCTTGTTAGCTATTACAATTTGATCACTGCTTAGAAAGAGGTCGTCAGTAACTTTCAAATCTGCTTTCACATTAAAAATTCATCCTTTTTGAAGCAGCTACAGCCATTTGCACGAGCTCGAATTTCACATGTTTCCCCAGTAGGCAAGCTGCTCAAATGTCAAGCCCCGATCAATAAACTTACAGCTGTTTAGTATTGTTATGACTAGTTCATCGTTTTTCACTTTATTTCTCTGTAGGACTCATTAATACTGATCTTTCCCTGAATTTTTCTACTTAGTGAGCGACGTTTGTGACGGAGGGTTGGCTCATGAGGCGTGAAGTTGTTTTTCTTTGAAGAAAGGTCTTCAGGGAGTGTAAACGACTTTTTTCATCCTTCAGCCTGTGGAAAGTCGTTTCATGGATGCCTGTTGCTGATAGGGGGAGAGGAGGACCGTTTTTCAAAATTTTGCCGACCCCTCGCTTGATTCAAACCCTACTGCGCACAAAAACAGTAGTGTGGTGAATAGTTTGGAAAGCGTTTGGTTCTCATCTTATAGATCTCCCTCAATGACATTAGACACAATTTTTTCGGTTTTTCATTACACCCTGTATATCTTATTTGTCAGAATGATTATGCTTATGGGTAATGCTCTGACGTGTGACTGCAAAATGATTGCAAATGATTTCAACGTCGGATTAAAACAAAATTTATCTTGTGGCTAGCTTCTGAAATCGAATAAACAGTCGAAGCAGCCACACTCCAATGAACCTAGCAATTTTTGAGCACTTTGCAGATCGCTTTCGGCTCCATGTCCTGAAAACACACATTTCACTTCCGAAAAAGTATGTCCTGAAGGAATGCGGAAGCATCGCAGGACAACCTTTGTGATGTGCTTTCAAAAATGGTACTTGATTCGCTTCCGACAAGAGTGATTGTGCTGAGATGACAGGCCGTAGTGCATTCGAAAGACGTCATACCTTTTTGACTCAAGGTAAAATTGGGGAGGGGGGGGGTATGAGGGGGAAGGAGGCATCGTGGTGCAGAACACTAAATTCTTTGAACGTTCAACAGGCCTTTCCATTTTCATTCCCGCCGAATCACCGTGATCGGGCAAGCAAAAAGGTTCAATCATAGCATCATTTTATGCGTAACGAAAAATGGATTTTTGATGGCGCGATGCATTACTGCGCCACGATGTCCTCCAACTACACTTGCGCCTTCTTCGTGGAATCTCTGAAATTCAATGTGGTAAATAAAGATTGAGTTAGTACATCGTGCTAGAGAGGATATTCGTTAACGGAATTCCGGTGGCACAAAAGAACTCCAAGGCACCCCTCCAACTGCTTCCATCCTTTATTAGGTCTGTAGAGATGACCAGTGCGTTATATTGTGTTTTATAAACTATTATGATATTTTCATGTGAAAAGCCTACTTTTAGCTTGTCGATTTGAGGCAGTATGAGCTTGCATTCGGATTCTTCGCATTCGCCCTCGTTCTGCGCACAGTGTAGTTTGGCCTGGAACATCTCTGCGGTGCAAAATCATAGGACACCCCCCAAAAACATGATTATCTTGGCTTCTAGGAATCGTCATTCATAGCAACCTGTAAAATCAGAGCATCTTTATAATAAACCTATACCCACAAGATACCAGGTTATCCGATCAGTTTTACATATTTTGATACAATTTTTTTAAATTTTGGAGCCGGTGCAGAATCATAGAACACCCTCCTTCGAAACCTCAAAAATACAGAAATGCGCCCGAATCTTATTGCTCTAGTGTGTCAAAAGGAACCACTTAGGAAAACTACGCGATCCCTAAAAGAACAAACACTGCCGCAAATTTTTGTGCATATTAAAATCAAAGTGGTGCGCATCAGTGGGGAATGCTTTGCTTCAACATTGATCATGTTGATCTTGTGAGTATTTTCGCAGCCATTGCTAACAATGGTTCTCCAAGTGGGTGTCAACAAATTTTAGACGCGTACTCCTTACCAGCAATTCGATTAAAGGAGGATTGCACGGAAAGAACGAACGTCGAAGAAGTGAGAAATCGCCTAGTGGGGAGAGCGGTGAATCTCTTGAGGGTGCGGACAGACACGCAATCGGCATCGAAAGATTTGACCTCTGAGATCTAGCATGGCTCAAAGTTGGCGAGTTCGGCGATCTCCGCCCACCGATCGTCTGATCACTCGCCGTAGTACAATAGGTGGCGAGTGATTAGATAGCTGAGAGAACGTAGGGATGAAGAGGGCAAAGCGATGAGAGTCCCATCAATGCTCAAAGCAACGGGAAAGGAAGGGGTCCCATTTCTCCGGTTCTGGGCCGTTTTTCGTGATTTCGCTTTCTTTCTGGTACTACTCACCATCTCTACCTAAATTTGGAATGGGTTGCTTTTCCATCGTAAATTCTTCCTTTAAAGTTATTGAGCTATAGTTTGTAACCACTGGCTGATTGGAGCCTTCACATGACAAAGTGCGTTATTCAACACATTGCAGCCCGCGTGCATCGCCGGGTATGCACGTCACTCCCACATCTGACATTCATGCATCGCCGGGTATGCACATCTGTGTTTTGCTCCCCAGGAACCTTTTTCAGTATTTCTTTTATTGATTAACTTACTTGGTCTCATGAGTACGTACAATGTGTGGCATTTCGACAAATTCAATTTTAATTCAGAAACAATCAGATTCTAATACGCCTACCTACTGAACAAGTTATCATCAATGATGAGATTTGCATGCAGTTCGTGTTTCAGACTTTAATTTCTTTGACAATTAAAAACAAACTATCATCGGGAAATTTCCTTAGTAAATACGTCCTCTAGCTCGCGGAAATACGTACGAAACCAAGATAAACACTTATTGAACCTATAAACCGTAATAACAAGCAAAACTTGGAAAATTTATAATTAGTACAGGGGAACAAAAATTCCCGCACCCTTCCAACGAATCTGCTATGTGGGTCTCGCGAAGAAAACATACGAGATGTCCCACATATGATATTGAAGCATCGCCGAGTATACGCGCACCCAGTACCGCCAATTACATATGTGTGACAAGCGCCGAAATCGACGCGGGCGTCAATGTGTTAACAGAAAGGTAGTCTTTTACGCGGAATCCACAGGAGATAAGAGAGCACATGGTTTTCTGTGATTTTTTTCTGCTCTAGTAAGCTCATTCCAGTGGCGATATACTTCAGGTTTAGGATTCAGAATGACATTACGCATCCGCACATTTTCAAGAGACTACTACAAAAATCGTTGAAGGAATATCGTCGAAACCGGCCTATCTCTGCTAGTGAACAACGTCATCTGAATCACCAATGTCAAGCTCCTTGTTACCAAGGAAATGCGACCTGAAAGGAACACAATACTCCTAACCGTGAATGAAAATTTCCTCGACATAGCCCAGCCCTGGCCCGGTCTTTTAATTACATTTCTCTTCTCTGGTTTCAGTCAGAGCGCCTAACGAATATGGCAGCACGCTTCGCAAGACCCTACGCTGGTTCTCTATATCAATGATTTACCGGATGATTTCGGTTTTATCCGCCTTTCCTCGTAGAGCTGGGACAGGTTGAGCATACATGATGATTTCGTTCGATGTAGTCGTTATACGCCAATCCTTCTGCGGAGCTCCTACTGTTTATCCTCGTGCTACCTCATTTCTATTCGTAGTAAGGATTTGGAGTGCCAAGCTACGGTCCCTTTAGCTTCCAGAAATAACGTCGTTGGTCGTGGGAGAGCCATCAGGCTCGTCTAAAAGCAACGTCTGGCTTCCACTCGAGGACGAGAGTGGATTAACTCAGACCGTAACTCTAGTAGGGTTGCCGTACACCAAATAAGTGCCACTATACATAATTGCTGGTTGGTTTAAAAATCCGACAGTAAGGAGAATTCTGATGTGTGTCCTATAATTCTGCACCGGCTCCAAAATTTAAAAGAATTGTCTAAAATACGGAAAACTAATCGGCTAATCTGGTAAATTGTAAGTGTAGTTTTTTTTTATGAGAGCGGTTCTGATTTCACAGATTGGGATCAACGAAGTTTTCCAGAGGCGGAGATATTCATATTTTTGGGGGTGTCCTATGATTTTGCACCGCACCGTTGGTCGATGCAGTTGTTAAAACATGTTTACTCCCCTGGTTTATTCAGGGCAACTAACGAATTAAACTTGTTTCATGCACCCAGAAATCCACGTATTTCACGGGGCTAAATTCTCGATGAAAAGGTGACATCACTTGTGCTCAAAGATGTTCTTGAATCGATGCCACGTTAATGCCACGTCAATTTCTGCAATCGCACAATTTCTGGTCATTTGAAGGTGAGGGTACCTTGTGGGCAAGCGTCTGAAAGGAATGTCGTCTGGCTTACTCACATGCACCGTTCCAAGATTCACATTGCATTACTTTCAAATACAAAAGACTACCGAAGTCTAGGCTAGGTTATCTCTAGAAGTAGAGGACTAGCGGGAGATAGTAATAGTGACCGTTCAAGTCTGAAGCCTTGATCATATCTCGCATTTGTCTATAAATCGGGCACTAGGGCAGGGATTTTGACTATCGATTGCGGATAGCACATTCATTTATAGCGAAAATGGCTGACGTATGCGATACGGGCACTGGCGTGCCCAATCCATCTCTAGGGTTGTGCATCTTGGAGAAAGTCTTGAAGATCTCAATCAATAAAAGCGAACTACGGTCGGCAACGATGAAAGAAACATTGTATTTTACAGCCAACTGACCAGCCGCAATTGCGAAAAGAAACGCCAGCGGACGTGATCACATCAGTGCGAACTCCCCTCAGATCGAGGTCTTGATACGACCCCTCTAACTTTGATCTGATGTGAAGATTTTGCGTCGAGCATTTATCGAGACCGGATTCCAGTCGATTGAAAAGCCGCTCCCTCCTCCCCCATTGCAAGTCAATTCGTTGGCCTTTCTCGAAGTGTGTCTAAAGCCAATCCTCCAAACGTAAGCGACAAGAAAAGGGCAATCGTCATCGTTCTGACCCGTCTAAGTATTGGCCATGCATCCGACCTCCTCTCCTGTACAGTCGAAATCTCGAAGTCAGATCAGGCGGGGCTGTGAATTTGACGTGGCCTTTGCCGCACTTGATAATAGCCGTGAGGATAGGGAAGTTTCTGACGTACTCCTTTGGATATCAGCAGAGCACGTTTATCCGCGCAACTTCCATCAAATGCGGCGGCCGCCACGTCAAACCCATAGACACGCCTAATCTGACTTCGAGATATCGAGTATAGAATCTATTGAAAGGTGTCATACATATGATGGTAACCTGTTGACAGAAACAGTATTGTAGAAAACACAGTTCATATTCTCCATGTCCGCCTTTCTTGAAAGCTGGGCATTTCGATGCTAAACAGTTCTTTTTTGTTTGTGTGCCGCACAGGTTTGTACGGTGGAATCATTATTGAGCCTGACTTTTCGACTATATGATCGTCTGCAAAGCCTGAAAGCGTTTTGAAAATTTCAAATGCTACCTATCCGCTCAATATGGGTTCACATTCGACCAAGTAAGAGGTAGGCTAATGAACTAAGGAGTGAGAACTCCAAGGTTGGATCGCTTACCTCAACTCCACCAGCAATGGAGATCAGAAAACGATAACAGCCGATAAGACACAGTAAGAAGCGGTAGAACGCAAGCGTCACGAAATCCGTAGTCGCGGTTGAGCAGCACTTAGGTGCTGTCTCTAGGATATGACGTAAGCGGTAGGAAGGAAACATCTTTGGTGGTGACAAAACGTGGTAACAACTGGTAAGGACTAATAAGAGCAATCAGTCTGGAAGTGGAGGGATTGGTTGCATTGTTATCTAGATACCCGGCAAGGAAAATACCCTTCTGTTTGCCATGTCATCGTCAGCGCGAGATCCATTCGACCGAACCGAATTTGCCCGAGCTTCCCAAGATGGTCGTTGTTTGTGGAAATGCATAAGACTTGGTGTTTGTACTTCAATATCGTTGGCATAAAAAGTTATTTTAACCGCTAAACTTTACCAAGCAATAGCAGTCCGAAGCGTGGTAGTTATTTACAATAGGGGGCTGACAGTAAGCAGTCCAAGTAATCACAATAGTTATCCAAAGCTTATTCAGCCACTAGATCATGTTATTTTCGAGAACACGATAAATATTTATGGATATTGACGAGCTGCGGGAAATGACTGCTTTATTACCAGCACCGTAGTAAACTTTCGTTAATATCTGTTGCATCAAAAGCATGCATGCTATCTAATACATAAGCCCGGCCATACCCAGTTCTGCTGAGGCCCACTTTAACATGCGCGCGATAGCGAGTCGAACCAAGCTGGTAATTATGATATTTAAGCTCCTTGCTATTTAATGTACACAATTTGTGAACTTCTTCGAGGAAAAACGACGATTTTGGTCCTTACCCAGTCAAAGATATTTCCATACACATCCTTCAGAAATATCCAAAAAGCAGTGCAGTCTGAACAAGTTTTCTTGGGGCACTCAGTGCAAATGCTTGACGAAACCAAAAGCATCAGAAGGATCGCAGCCTTCATTTTATTGTCGAAAACCTGGAAAAGAAAACTTATTAAGCTCACTTAAGCAAACCTTAACACATTGACGACAACGCGAGTTTTGGCTTTTTTGGCCACGTGGGACCGCGGCGATTTTGCGGGCGCGCTCGCCTCAGGTCGTTCAAGCAGATTTTGAGTGATAAATACACTACTGTTGATCAATTCAAAAGCAAATCAGGTAATTCGAATGAGCGCAACCTAACCAGGGGTAGAGTAGTAGAATTTTGATCGAAAGACATGGAGTAACAATGAAATAGCGAAATTGCAACTAGCTGCAATGGACCTCAAAAGCTATTTTACGTTGAACATTCCGATCAAAGCACACATACTTTCGTCCCTAAGGTTCCTTATCTACTTCGACTACTATTTTGAACTTCACATCAATAAAAGAAAAAGTAAATGGAAAATTTATGAAAATGGAGATTTTGTATGGTTCAGAAAGCTCCTCTATATTAAAGGAGGATTGCACGGAAAGAACGAAGGTCGAAGAAGGGAGAAATCGCCTAAGTGGGGAAAGCGCGTGATCTCTTGAGGGTGCGGACAGACACGCAATCGGCATCGAAAGATTGACCTCTGAGATCTAGCATGGCTCAAAGTTGGCGAGTTCGGCGATCTCCGCCCACCGATCGTCTGATCACTCGCCGTAGTACAATAGGTGGCGAGTGATTAGATAGCTGAGAGAGGGTAGGGTTGAAGAGGGCAAAGCGATGAGAGTCCCATCAATGCTCAAATCAACGGACAAGGAAGGGGTCCCATTTTCTCGGTTTCTGGGCCGTTTTTCGTGTTCGTTTCTTTCTGGTATACTCACCATCTCTACCTCAATTTAGAATGGGTTGCTTTTCCATCGTAAATTCGTCCTTTGAAGTATACGTGATCATTATAAGGGCCACTATGTTTGTAGCTACGTCAAGGTCTCTTCTATGAAATGAATACAGGAAACTTCTGAAAGAATCAGGCGTGCGCGAAAAAAATGAGTGTAATGGGTGCGGGGGATATATATCCCGCACGGTCCGACATGGCATGCAATACGCGGGATATATATCCACCGCGTTGTCGTCAATGTGTTAAAGGCAAGATTTGGGATCTCCATCTCCATCTCCGCGTTCTTTGCCTTGGCGACGGCGGCCTTAGCAAGCCTTATGCAACTCTTAGACAGCGAGGTCCTCAGGGCTCTGTGTATTCTGCGGCTTCCTTCTTCCGCTTCACGACTCGCTCGACTTCCTCGTTTCAGAACCACGCTGCCTTGTCCCCCCTGATTCCACCTCGCGTCTCGCCCAGTACCTCCTTGGCACTCCTGCAAGATGGTTTCGGCCGCGTTGCTCCAAGTCCGCTGTATTGGCCCGTCAGGATCTGGGAGAGCAACTAACATTACCCTTCGTTTGAGGTCAACTTTTCCGCTTGGTGCAACTTCTACCACCGAATTCACCGCTCGGTTCTAACCGCTGTCTTCTTGGGGATATCTATGAAATGTCTGACAGAGAGAGAACATTGATGTCCTTCACAGTCCTTCCACTGCTGTGGGTTACCTTTTGAATATACCTTTTCTTGAATGTTTCTCCACGTAGAGCAGCAACCGCTCGGACCTTTCAGTCAGCGACCTACGTTCAAAGTCCCAATTCGAAATAGCTTTTTTGGCCGAGGCCGTTCCCTCCTCGGTAGTCCTCGCACACTGACCACAGAACTTAGGCGGGGGTCTGCGCTCCACTTCCTGGTGACGCCCTAGCTCTATCACTGACACCTTGGCAACTTTTAGACATGGTTTGTGTGGCTGGAGTATTCATCAACCGGCCTGTGAATCTTTGACATCTGACGCTATCAGATGGTGGCTAGCATTACTTTTGCATTTTCTGCGGGGCATATATCAAGCCTCGCAGAGATCGAACTCGCGGTTTTCCAGAGGTGCAGACATGAGTCTACACTCTAAACCACTCGATCGTCTTCGACTATGCCGAACACCTGCACACAAGGATAGAGGGCGGATCAAACTTCTTCTAAGGGCGATATTTGGCGAAGTAGGCCTAAAACTTTTCAGAAGACGTCAATAAGGTCTATCGGCATGAGAACTTCGAGATCTTATCATCTTAGCAATCATTTCCCGCTAAAGAAGGCACAATTGTGGCGGAGAAGTTTTTTGACGCACCTCTATTTATAAAACCCAGGGTTCGACGCAGCAGTTTGTTGTGTCCGTTTGTGCGTCTGTAGCTCCCTTCCAGCAAAGGCCTTTACCATGCCTCATGTATCCAGAAGGGTGGGAAGTGTGCTAGAATAAACTACTGCTAACAAAACTGTGGGAAATGCAGGTCTTGTTATGCCGGCGCTTTATGACGGTATGACTGTAGCAACTCTTCCAGTCACCATAAAAATATTCTGAACGCGTTCTTGGTCATTCAGCGCAGAGAATTCGTCGCAAATGAAGTAGAATGGAGGGTAATTGGGAACGGGAAGCGGGGAGATAAGAAGCAAACATCAAATTATTGCTCTATTTGAATACGTGATAACCAGTAATTATTATCCGTCAGTGGCCATCCATACATACAAGGCCTGACGAATACATGCTTGCCTGGGGAAAAGCGTATCGGTTTCCACTTCATTCACAAAGGATTGTAAAGGTAGGAATTTCCAGCAAGTGTTGTATGCCGAGTGTTGTTCGAATTTCATGTCCACCATTCAAGCTTCAATGATACTGCGCAGATCCTCGCCATTCGCTCAGGATCCAGCGCTTGCGGGCACCCCACCCTCAGTCTCGAAAGCAGTGTCCGATCAAAATTTGGACAGCTTTCTGCGCGAATGCGGTGACAGGGTCCCGAAGCACAGGAGTGCGGCAACGCAATTCGAAAAGCATTACAAGGCGGTAGGGCCTGGTAGCCTTGACCACTGCCACCACAGTGTTCTCTTGAACGCCGTGCTCTCTCGCTACTCACCCATTACCACGCTATGCATCTCCATCGTACATAGGTTTACCTCAAAACCAAAGAAGTTCTTTAGTGCATTTTGTGATTGCTTCTCTTTTTTCTGATCTTTTTTGCTCGCTGATTTCTTTTCGAAGCCCTTATACTATGCTCGAGCCGTAGCACAACAGTGCGATGGCAACGTAATGCAATGTTTTTACTAACCTGTAACCAGTTGTTCGCATTCTACTCTACCGTATGCTACCTGCAGTTGAAGGTAGCAAGTAATTACGCAGAACGATCGAGCCTAACGCTTTAGCCTTCGGATTTTACTGCGCAAGAGCTCACTGCAGTGGCACAGCTTAGCAGCGCTGCGATAGACTTCATGGTGTGAAGGAATGTGGTTCCGGAGAATCGTGGGGTTATGAGTGATATTATCAACTTCACAATCGAGAGAGCCGTTCTAACAAGGTCAGGCAGCGCCTAATGCGCGGTTTGATGTCTATGAAGAAGCCATTTTTCAATGACACGGAGAGAAGCTGCCAGTGTCGTTGGTTCGAAGCACATCATGCATGATCATTGGTCACTGCTCACCGTGAAGACAGATCATGTCATCATGCGCACGTTCTTGAGCAATTCTCATGCTACTTAAAACTCACTTGATAGCCGGCCGTCACTGGAGGAAGAGACGTCCGAATGAGTCGAACCTTACCCGATTGATACTGGTGTTATTATATTATTATCAGTCAGAGGTTCGTATTCCACGTACACTCAAGATATGGGTAACCATCCGATGCCGATTGTTACTTCCAGTGAAGCTAACTAGGGAGGTCTTTTGAAAAATGCCAAGCTTTCTCAAAACGGTTTTTTGCCTGATATAGGGATACATGTATGGAACACCAAACTGTAGTTCATTTTTCCTGAGCGGCCCTCTGAGTACCAAATAGGAGCGATGGAAAAATTCTCAAAAACTGTGGTTCTAACCGCTTTGTTGTGAGGTACTTCGCACACAGCATTGACTAGTGTCATATCAGAAGGTTCTCATGACCTGTGCCTTGAAAAAATGCGGAATTTGGTCAAGAATGAGGCGATTTCCTTGGCATGAAGTGAAACTCATGTGGAAGATTCATCAGTTCCGTTCAAAGCCAGAACGTCAGCGACAGTCGGATGGCCTATTGGTTAGTGGTGCGGCCTGTGAATCGGAAGGCAAAAGGGCGGTGTTCATGGTTCCCCACATTGCGAAGATTTTGCTTTTGTTTGATTGCCATTTTCCTGTGATCGTGGACTCTTGCGCATGCATATAATGCGGATTATGTTACATTTGAGATTCTACGACTGCGAGTTCGTGTTGGTCTCTCACAAGCTCGTGTGTGCATCGATAAAAATTTTTAATTTATAAAAATTACTAAATTGCCCCCGTAGGCTTGGAGAAGGGCTAACATGGAATAGGTTCCCGTCCTCGCGATTACCAAGGAGACCGAGGTTCTCCCTCGCAGGGCAAGCTGATCTAGCTATCGGCACTAGACCCAGCCAGAAGCACGGCCAGGAACTCTACCTGCCTCTGTTTGACAAGGAGGAGAACCCTACGACATAGTTATTGGTGACTTCTCGCCCATCGCCGACTTGATTGTCTATCATTGTCTGTTACGAGAGAGGATTTTCCATTTCGTGAGAAAGATGACTAGAAGATTGCCTCCAAATCATCTCCCAATAAGCCTGACGGGCTACTGATCTATCTGCCCATGGTCCAGCTTTTCGAAGTTGGGACGAAATCTTAATTTTCCCTGAAACTTTCGGGATAGGGGTTATTCGCTGTCCTGATTACGAATACTCTATTAGTTTTCAGCGTAAACGTAATTTGAATTCGCTATGACGCCATTGGGCGCTACAAGGGCGCCGTTTTGGTCTCGCAACTTTCTCCACCAGTTTTTCAGTCAAAACCTATGTATTAAGGTTGCTATTGCTCCTAATTATAGATATGACATCTGCTATTAACGCTGAGACTCTTTTTGTGTTGTTTCTCGTTTCTCTTTTTTGTGAACTTTGGAACACCAACACAAAATGCAAATGCAAAAATATCACTGCGAGGATCCG